CCATACCCGTGCTCGCTGGTTTCCCCAAATGGTTAACGTCTTTGGCCTGAACCTTTTAAAGCTTTCGCTCACTCCCACTGATATACAGTGAAACACCGTTGTGTCGAAGTTGAAGGGACGTGCGAAAATACTTCGAATTATCCAAGGTTCGACACAACCGAAAAAGGTGAATGAAGAAGGAATACGCAGGGACAAAACTTTCACTTCGAGACAACGGTGTTTCACTGTAACTGAAAAAAATATTCAGATCTACGTAAATACCAACTTTCTCTCTCAATGTCGTTTGACCTTTGCGTTTAAAATATATAAAAATATTAAAAACATATATATATATATATCCTGAACATTCATATACTGACAAAAAGCATATAATATGATGTGTTGTTGTGCTAAAGTCGATCTCGAAACAGATTCGAACCCGAACGACGACGTTGATGTGTGATTTAAATCATGTATAAATACACAGAACAACTTAATTTGACAAATGTTACAGACTTTCAAATATGTGTTTTCACAGTGTTTCAGTATAGTAGTGAGTGAGTGAGTGAGTGAGTGAGTGAGTGAGTGAGTTGGGTTTAACGCCGCTTTTAAAAGTATTCAAGTTATAATGTGGGAGGAAATCCCGAAGTGATGCAGGTCTCAGACGTTTACCACTTCGGTGAAACCAACGAGCATTCAGTATAGTAAAGATTTGTTCACAGTTATATAGGGTGCAGTCGTTGAAAACAAGAACGTACGAAACAGGGTTTGGACTTCACCGGGTCATATTCCCTGGACATCCTTAATAGAAATAGTAACATAGCAAGTACATATGTCCATGCCACATAAAGCATCAACTCGGGGAATCTTCTATAGCCACTCTGGTTAAATCTACTTTCATTTAACAGACAGTCTTTTAATATATTTACCATAAATGAATTTACCCTTGCGTAGTTCCCCGAACTTCCCCCTCTCGAAGCCAGCAATGATATAATTATTCACAAATGAAATACTTCCCGAGTTTTAGCGTCTGGGGTTTCCCCACATGGTCACGTGGATTGTATGTAGAATGAGTTTCACGAAATCCTTCCTTTAGAGAGAAACTATAGTTTGTATGTTTGTTCGTTGTTTAACGCCGCACTCAGCAATATTCAAGCTATATGACCGCGGATTGTAAATAATCGAGTCTGGACCAGACAATTCAGTGATTGACATCATGAGCATCGATCCACGCAATTGGGATACGATGACATGCATCAACCAAGTCAGCGAGCCTGACCATCCGTTCCCGTTAGTCGCCTTTTACGACAAGCATAGTCGCCTGTTACGACAAGCATAGTCGCCTGTTACGACAAGCATAAGAAACAATAGTCAAATAAACAAGTGTCAGACAGTCAGGTGAGTTCTGTACAACAAGCTATATTTCACCTTACATTAAAGTATTAGCTTCTGATTGGTTTAGGAGCGAGCAATTATTTATCATGTAGCCAGCCGAAAAATAAATCGGAATACACAGAGGTTAACTTGCTTATGTCGCATAAGTATTGTCAGGTGTCGGAAATGATCCGAATGTACTGGGTAAAGGGAAGTAACTCTGTTTGTTTTGTCGTCTGCTACGATTTGTGCGAACTGAGAGAAACTGCGGACACATATTCCGGGTCTGTATGAAGGAATGTCGGTAAGATGAATTCGTTGTCAACTGATCCCTTGGGTATATGGTGGGATGTACCCTGTGTGTGAGCCTTAACCGTTCTTACATTTACCATATGCCCCTAGAGTTCGGTTGACAACTTATAATGTATGTGACAGCAGTAAGTGACGCGTTTGAGATGTCCCATAGATCATGTACACTGCACTGTGGCTGTCGAATGATGAGTAGGATAGTGTAGAGGTGAGGTGAAAATAAGGTATATTTTAACGTCCAGGATTACTGCACTTTCATATAGACGTACATGTACATGCACTTGTGTGTGTGTGTGTTTGTGTGTGTGTGTGTGTGTGTGTGTGTGTGTGCGTGTGCGTGCGTGCGTGCTTGTACTAGTCCAGACTAATGCTGGTTATATAGTGCTTGTCCACTGACATACCATGCCGCAGATTAACATATATACCACATTGAGACACAATTTACTGACTACGAGCCGACCAATCCTTGTTTTAGCCCCTTTATGCCTAGCGCCAGGCAGGGTAACAAGTATAATCTTTTAACGTCTTTTGGTATGACGCGGCCGGGCATCGGACCCCGGAGCTTCCACTGCCCGGGCAGTGTATGTCTATCTTGTAGACCACGGATCGTATAGTTCAACGACGCTTTGGGTGAGTATTTTAGTTTCATCAACATGAAGGCATGTCAGCTTAATGTTGCAGACAAGGCCATAGTTACACATGCCGTATAGACGGTTGCCTCTTTTGTTAAACCCGCGAATGATTCTGATATTTCAAGGCTCATAATTTTTTAACATTTCTTTTCGTCAATCGTTCAGTATTTAATTTTTTGCACATTCGCTCTAAAAAACAACGGAAGTTGACTCCCTTTATCTCGACCACGGTTATATCGAAGTGCTCGGGTTTCCTGAAGTACTTACCCTGGCTATGAACTACAGACAGACAGATTTATTCAGTAATCAGGCCTCCAGCCCATAATACATGTTAACATAATGTAGATACATGCTTATATACTATGGCGTTATGTTAAGACAAATAGTTTTAGAATACGTTAGAACAGTGATGAGTTACGTGTATTCATAACTTTAGATAGAAATAGTCCAATGTGTTTTAAAGTTCTTGTGGAGTTTGTTGACATAAGGTTTAAAAACTGTTGAAATGTGCTAAAGTTGATTTCACTTTCAGCAAAGCATTCTCTTCTTGCAGCTCGGTATCTGTCACAGATTGACAATACATGATACTCATCCTCAATTAGAGTTAAACCTTTGGAGTGGCAATACATGCACACACGTTCTTCATATGGGATTTTAGAATGTCTTCCCGTTTCAACTGCAAGTTTAAAGTTGTTACACCTGAACATACATATTAATCTTTTATAATAAGCAGAGATTTCACATGATAATAAGTATTTTTCTGCATTAAGGAGAGATTTGTACTGTGAGTAATATTTGCATTTAGATGAGAGCTCTATGGAGAGATGCCAGTTTTGAGAAAAACAGTCATACAGCCTCTGTTTAAATTTCATCATAATTTGCTATCACCGCATTCCGCATTTATCCAAATAAATCCAAATCCATGTTGAAACAGGATATTCCTGATGTTAGATGCCCATGTGGTTTTACCAGTCATCAAGTGACTTAAGCATACAATTGGACTGATATGGTAATCTTTGAGGTTCCACATGGATCACTCTGCTATGAACTACATATAGTGAGTGAGTGAGTTGGGTTTTTAACGCCGCTTTTAACATTATTCCAGTTATATCGCGGCGTGTCAGCTTAATGTGGGAGGAAAGTCCGAAGTGATGCAGGTCTCCGACGTTTACCACTTCGGTGAAACCCACGAGCACGGGTATGGTGCTGACAAACCTAGAAACATAATTGGGGCGAACCGGGATTCGAACCCACAATCATAGGTTTCTGGCGTGCCCAAGGGACGCAACTCTGCACAGCGAATCGCAGCGCCTTAGACGTAGCTGTACATCTCAATATAGACTGGAACTCCATGGACCTAATGTCGACACTGCCGAAACGTCGACATAAAAGTTGTAGTAGAAATAAGAACACGAGAGGACATAACATTAATAATATTTACTTCGGACAAACCTTTTTTTCATGAACATTAATAAAAAAACATGGTATAAACAACTTTTTTTCTCATCACAGTGTTATTATTTTGATAAACATTATCAAAACAACAATAGGTGAAAAACACTCAATGGTAGCTGTTGTCTCTTAAGTTGGTGGAAAACAATCACAATCGCAATCAATTTAAAATATACTACTCAAAACAGTTCAGGAATACCTTCCTTCATATTACTATGTGACCCGCGAGGACAGGGTTAGAATTGGTTTTCAGCAAACCATGCTTGTCGAAAGACTAACGGGATCGGGGGGCACGGGTGGCCCAGTCGTCTAAGGCGCTGCGATTCGCTGTGCAGAGTTGCGTCCAATGGGCACGCCAGAAACCTATGATTGTGGGTTCGAATCCCGGTTCGCCCCGATTATGTTTCTAGGTTTGTCAGCACCATACCCGTGGTCGTGGGTTTCACCGAAGTGGTAAACGTCTAAGACCTGCGTCACTTCGGGCTTTCTTCCCACATTAAGCTGACACGCCGCGATATAACTGGAATAGTGTTAAAAGCGGCGTTAAACCCAACTCACTCACTCACTCACTCACGGGATCGGGAGATCAGGCCAGCCGACACATTTGATGCATGTCATCGATCCCCAGTTGCATAGATCGATGCTCATGATGTCTATCACTGGATTGTCTGGTCCAGACTCGATTATTTACAGACCGCCGTCATATAGCTGGGGTAGTGCTGAGTGTGGCGTTAAACAACAAACAAACAAACCAACAAACATAATACTGTATCCGGCATGACAGATACACTGTAGTAATATGAAAAAATCGGATGTCCTTGTTCTTTTGAGTAGTATATAAAAAACAAAACAATACAGCATTCAATTGTCACTCAGCACCAACATGATATTCACAGTATAAAAATTGTAATTTAAAATTGAACAAAATACCTGTGGGTTTCTGATTAAGCCCGTCCCTGTGAGACATAACAATACTGTGTATTGACGTCGTATACAGTCATGTGACGTACCTGTACCGGGAGCTCCTCACAAACAAATTCCATACATTCATGATGAAATATACTTATATATACTTTATAAAAGAATATACTACTATGCCACGGATTGATTAACTTTTCTTTCTTTGTTAGTTGTTTAACGCTGAACCACTCAGTAATATTCCAGTTATATGACGGCGGTCTGTTAAAAATTGAGTCTGGACCAGACAATCCAGTGATTGATGTCATGAGCATCGATCCACGCAATTGGGATACGATGACATGCATCAACCAAGTCAGCGAGTCTGACCACCCGATCCAATTAGTCTATGAAATAATCGGGTGTTGTTTTAACCTCTTATATAAGACATCTGCGCGATAAATCGCAAAGAACAATGAAGAACGAAGCGTGGTTTATTTCACGATAAAACATTGTACTAACTTATCATGACGTCATTTCTGGAGATTCAAATAAGCGCTCGTGCGCAACTTGATGACGTTCTTCATTTTCTTTGCAATTTATCGCGTAGCTGTCTTATATTCTAACTTTCAAGCACATTAAGGGCATGCTGATTTTAAAATAATACTTCAGGGCATATACTTTAGGGAATGCTTAATCACAATTGATTTGCCAAAACTGTATTTGTAAATCAGACGATAAAAAACGACAGGCGAAATCACCTTTAAAATATCAATTTTTTAACAACAAACATGGCGTCTAACGAAACCGAGAGGCGCTATCGCTTACCAATGCATTTGAAGCATAGCTGTTAAAATTGGAAGAGTTTCAAACAAATAACGCATAAGAATAACTGTTATGCAATAAATATTTTACTGAATGTAAAATATTTTCACTGTCAACACGGAAATGTAAGTGTTCTGATTTCCGTGTTTTTGCCGCATCCGACAGGCGCAAGGTCGGTTAACCTCGTCAAAGTGTTATTTTCACTGGAGTGAACATATCACATTTTTGTCACAACTGTGAAAATATCACTTTTCTAAACTTCAGAAATCTCAGTCTTTTGCACATAAGTATAATATCATAAAGTATATTATATTATATATTATGTTATTCCTTATATAGATTAGAACATAACGTCTTGACTTGAGTATTGCTTTCAAGTTGCCATGTTAAAATACCATTAGTGTATGTGAAACATATACGAACATTTTCATCTAGCAGACAACAGTTAGCTTTTTCGAAGTTGAACCAAAATTTATATTGTATCAATGTCTCTGGATGGAGGGACATAGATATTGTACAGGTTTGTTATGTCTCCAAACGTCTGTACGCCAAAACGCCTTCACATTGTTAATCTTACACACTGACGTTACCCTTTGTTGAAATGGGAAAACCAGATGGGTATAGCTTTAAATATTATAATCCAACCAACACGGTATTCAGCAAGCCCGTGAAAATTAAGATGCTCTTACTTACTTACTCGCTTAACATGATATTACAACATAGTAAGAGTAGTTGGATAAGGAAAGTTAAGTTTAGTCGTAGAAAGGAGGATCGCCAATGGAAACAAACGCCACAAATCCATTTTCGTAATCATAAGAAATCTCCGCTAAAAGCAGAGTTCCGTGTACGATTTTGACTTTATCATAACAAAGTGTTTCTGAAACAAATACCACTTTTCACATTGGTGGGACCAGTAAATCCAAAGCAACATTGCCACACTGAAACTACAAACAGTACAGAACTAAACGCACTTGGGAATTAAATTCACAAAACAAACTGGCGTCTGCTATATAGGATGAAAACACAAAAAATACAAAATATTAATCAACTTTCTGTCCAGTTAAATTAAAGGAAAACCATTTCCAAAAAACATAAGAAATCACTACTAAGCGCAGAGTCTATTGTAATATTTCGACTAAATCATAAGCATGTGTTTATGAATCACTATCAAATAGTGATGAAGTTCGCGAAAAGGTGCGCGAAGTTTGCCCATCCAGTGGCATCCGCCACAAACACATGCAAAGGCATGTCAATTGTTCACCAGTTCACGTCAAATTGATGTCCACCATAAAACTTTTTGAAAGCTTTACTGTGGCCATGAATGTTGTAACCCTGATCGAACGACGTTTAGGCAAGAATCGGACGACGCTCTTTGAAATCTTCGAACTAGAACTTCGAAAACAAATAGAAACATATAATGTCATCGTCACTTCAATCATATTGGGGGCGGTCGGGTAGCCTAGTGGTTAAAGCCCATGTGTGAAGCTATTTCTGGTGTCCCCCGCCGTGATATTGCTTGAATATTGCTAAAAGCGGCGTAAAACCTTACTCACTCACTCAATCATATTGCATTTTTTAAGTATGGGCGCTATCTGATAGTGATACAGTTATAAACGATATATAGTGATATATTAGTGGAGGAATCCAATAAAAGCCTTGTTTCAAACATATTATTAAAACAAAATGCGATAACACAACAGACCAAAGCGTTTCTTTAATATTATTGATATTAACAGTTTAACATTAAATTCTTACTCTTAAACGGTTGTCAATTGTTAGGCTTTTTATGAACACTAATGGCTTAACCATACGACCTAAAGTCACGATAGGAGGACTTTGTCTAAAGAGTATCAACTTTGCACTAATCAGGATCGTATTCCGTTCTAAAGTACTGATTATCTTGACAACCTTAATTAAATTATTTTTATATGCATGTTGAAACATTGTCTTCGTCTTCATGACTTTATAAAATTAATTTTCTATTTGAACTAAGTGTGATAACAATATGACGATATCTACAATCATCAAAGTCCTCCTTGTGTTGAAATTGACCATATGGAATTAATTATGTCAAAGGTCATGTTCAATTAATACTTTCATAAGCACGTACGTCCCGCAGTCATCGAATTTATGAATGAAAACAACGAGTTACGTCCCATTATCTCACTTCCCATCCTCAGCAAGCTTTTCTTTTGGCACAGTATCTTCCTCCCAGTCGTGTTCGCTCACTACATGCAGTCTCCGGTGGCGTTCTTGTCGTAGCGCTCTCCTGTTTGTCTGCACCGCTGCATCCTGCCTCTCCAATAGCTCCTGGTCTCGGACAAGATTTGACTGTCAGGTGAGTGAGGCACATGTTAGATCAAAGACTACACTTTTTTTCTTTTCTTTTTTTATAAATATGTATTATTCCATTTCAATATGGAAAGTGGGAAAATACATTTAAAACCAAGGTTTGTTTATTCATTTGTTGTTTAACGCCGCACTCAGCAATATTCCGGCTATATGACATCGGTCGGTAAAAATCAAGTCTGGACCAGACAATCCAGTGATTGATGTCATGAGCATCGATCCACGCAATTGGGATACGATGACATGCATCAACCAAGTCAGCGAGCCTGACCACCCGATCCCGTTAGTCGCCCCTTACGGCAATCATGTGTTGCTGAAGGTCTATTCTACCCCAGATCTTCACGGGTCTACAGTCAAGGTAGAAGACATGAAAAACTAATGTTAGAAGGCTTTATACAACGTTTAAAGGAGACCGTAATTAGACTTAAATATATCGCTATATTATTTTATGAACGCTTCACTCGTTATCATGACCCCGGACAGATGGTAGTTGACAGTTGCTTCCATTTCTTGTGATAAAGATGGATTCCGTTCTGTTTGTTTGTATTTTGTTTTCAATGAATCTTTTTGCAGAGAACAGCATATGGTTAACTGCATGCACTAAATCCAAACATGACAGTATATTTTGTTCAATATTTAGGTTACTATAGATATTGAAGACTAGACTTGACTTCCAGGTGAGAGGGGCATATTGTAGAGCAAATATACCTCTATAAATTAGAAAATACACCCTCCATTCACGGCCACTCGTGTCATTCAGGACTCCTCTCGGTCTCTCCGTACCAAAACCACACGACTGGACACGCAGGGCATGGGGTAGTGTGGTACGAAAGAAGATAACTGATATATACATCAATCAGGTCTGAACAGAGTCGGGAAATCTTTACTAGGTTAAGTTCCTTACCGGTAGCGGCGGTGGAGTAGCCTAGTGGTTAAAGCGTTCGCTCGTCACACCGAAGCACATGGGTGCAATGTGCGAAGCCCATTTCTGGTGTCCCCAGCCGTGATATTGCTGGAATATCGCTAAAAGCGGCGTACAAGCTCGCTCACTCACTCACTCACTCACTCACTCACTCACTCACTCACACACTCACTCACTCACTCACTCACTCCTCACCGGTGGGTCGTGGGGCTCATGGTCTTGTTCAGCCTGCATTTCCGTAAATTGTTCGGCGCCTGCAAAACAAGGAAATATTATCCCACAGTCGAGAGAAAGACTTTAAAGAATGACTTAAAACAGCTTGCACGGGAATTTTGATTTGCCAGAACTAGATTATTCAATTTTTCATCACCACAAACTATACACACAGTTGATAAGTTATAGAAGAGTTAGGATATATGTTACGGAAATAGTTTGATCAAGACAAAATTGAACATGACAGTTTTGAATGGAGACAATATGAAGTTACTCGTGTGCGAGCAATAATGGTATCACCCAGGCTCATCTTCGTTGTCAGGTAAGACGTCTGATATCAAACTAGATATTATATATGGGCGCGACTGAATGACATAACTGATACTATAATTCCTTTTTTTTACCAACTGCAGTTTAAAGAGAACTATGGAACAGAGAGAAAAGTAACTCCTGGAAAGTTGGGTTGTATCAAACTTGCCTCCACTGGTGCTGGATCTATAACTGTTGGACGATATTGCTGAAACACATGAATATGTAGGTATTAGCAGCCATTGTCTGGCATACGGGAGCAGGGAGCTTGGTTTTAGGCCACTTTAATCATTTTCCCATCAATATCACGGAGGGCTTCAATAACGGGCTTCACAGATTGTACCAATGTCGATACAAAAAACAAACAAACAAATACAAACAAACACAAAACAACAACAAAAACAAAACAAACAAACATACAAACGAAAAACAAAGCAAAACAACAACAAAAACCCAGAAAAAAACAAAAAACACACACACACATAATGGTGGAATCACATAGTATCAATTAATTGTCAAATAGCCCTTCCTACAATTGTGCTTTCTACAAGTTTGTTTGTTTGTTGTTTAACGCTGCACTCAGCAATGTTCCAGCTGCTAGTATGACGGTATTTGAAGTGCCGTAAAAGTAACAACTATTCCTCTGTATCAAGGGAAATACAACAGGGTCAAGTTTCGCTAGCATTGTTTGTTTGCTTGTTCTTTCACGCCACACTATTCCAGCTATGTGACGGGGGTCTGTAAATAATCGAGTCACGACCAGATAATCTAGTGATTAACATCATGACCATCGATCTAAACAATTGGGATACACTGACATGCATCAACTAAGTCAGCGAGCCTGACCACACGATCACGTTGGTTGCCCCTCACGACAAGCAATTCTAACCCTGATCTTCACGGGTATAATGGTAAAAGTGCAAATTCTTTTCAATTGTTCGCTATTTAAACCATAAGATGAGGTAAACATTGTGTTTATTAAACCTACCTGAATCTCTGGAAACGGTTGAACTCTCCGCTCTTTTAGAAGCCAATACCACTTGGTCTAAAGATTCTTTTACCTCCTGGACTAACCGCTCCAGCATCTCGGCTTTGGTGCGAGGGTTTGCTTCGGGGTTCGAACCCGGTCCAGGTTCTTCCGTATCGTTTCTTGTAGACGAGAAACGCTTTCTCGCATCAGTCTTGTCTACATGAAGTTCTATTTCCGAAGCAATTTGCTTGTTGTCACACAGTTGTGCGATAAGGCAATTCCGATATCTTTCGAAACTCTCTTCAGGAATGTATTCCGCCATTCTGCTTTGCTAGCCTCCGTAGTCACGAGCGAATATCATCTGAGTGTCCCAGTGGCTACTCGGTGAGCCCCACTAGCCTAAGATAAAACGTCACAAAAACATGATAAATACATAACAATAATAACAAAGTCTTTGATAGGCATTTAGGTAACAAACACACACAAATTATCAATGCAAATAAAAAGTACAATGATCATGAAAAAATACTGTTACAACCATAATAATACAATAATAACGAATATGATAATACCACACTGATAACAATACTAAAAATAGAAACAGCAGTATTAAACAGCAATTAATCTAATAACCTAATAATCATTTTCGATCTCGACATTATCGATCGATAACTGTTGTGTCCCAATCGGATTAATCCCAGCCTTATACATTAGGTTTACCTGGGTACGTGTTTCAACATTAATTCAGTTATTGAGACTTGATACTCTCTACTCTAGTTTTGCAAAGATGTTCGTTACGTACCGCGCCAGTTAGAAGGTCCACCCTCGTCTCTTCACGAACATGACAGTAAATGACAGCGAATGTCTCTGCAGCGTTCTCCCTGATCAACAATAGCCGCCAATAGTGTTGTTTGTCGGGTGATCACATGATGTCATCAAAATACCCTGATTAGTGTGACGCTGTCTCAAGTATGTTACCCAGTTATTTTTCTATGAACGATTTACATTCCAATGCATTTCCATGAAAACGTGTACAATGAAACTCAAGTACATGTATGTTACCCAGAAGTGCTCCTTGCCGACAAGGACTGTACTTAACAGTAGTAAGTTATATATTGGAAGGGGTAATATTTTTACGGGGTTGATTGGGGATCAGGTTGAGTGTTTATTCACACAATGAGATGTTCTTCTTCTTTTTTTCTTTTTTCTTCTTTTTCTTTCGTGCGCGCGCGCGCGCGTGTGTGTGTGTGTGTGTGTGGGGGGGGGGGGGGGGGGGGGGGGGGAGCTTTTTCACATTTCTATGAACGAATTACATTTCAATGCATTTGCATCAAAACGTGTACAATGAAACTGTATGTGTTCCTAAATAGCACAAGATAAAATAGATACCTTAGTAACTAAATACATACATAGTCAAAGACAAAATAGACAGACATAATTAATACATAATGACGATAACTAAATGGCTAAGTAAATGGCTAAGTAGCTGAATAAATGGCTAAAGAGGTAATTTTGTTGTATTTAAATAAATAAATAACTTGTGGCTATATTTAAGAAGGTCTTTCGCTATGTTTAGAGAATCAATCTTAAAAACGATAACTAAATGGCTAAGTAGTTAAATGAATGGTTAAATAAATAATTTTATTGTAAATAAATGGCTAAGTAAACACATAAATGGTTAAATAAATAAATAAATTGTGGCTATATTTAAGAAGGTCTTTCGCTTCCATTTAGGGAATCAATCCAGGTCTTCAAACATAGCGTGCAAACCCGACTCGTCTCAACAGTATGATTAAGGTGAGCGATATACCTGGGGTACACTTTACAAGATGATGACTGGGGTGGGACGGTGGATCATGTGTTCGCTGGTCAGCCCCAAGACCCGATTCAATGCGTAAAACGTCTCTCACTCGACCACAACCACTTGGGCGTAGCCTCGTGGTTAAAGCGCTCGCTCGCGATGCCGAAGTCCGATTCCCAAACTGAGTCTACTATACTATACTACTAATATTGTTACTATTGCAACAGTTACTACTACTATCAATAGTTAATCTAAGAACAATAATATTGATTCTTCCTAATAAAGAGAGACTACGTGATTATTTGCAGGCCGTGTTAAACATTTCCGCAACCAACAACACGCCAACGACCTATTTTGCCGGCCTATTTTTAATGCCACGTCCCTAGAGCGTAACGCGGAAGCGATCTAACTAACCTTGGACCATATTGAGAGAATAAAACTAATTTTAAGATTGTTGTTTGTAGGGGTTGAGGTAGGGCGTGGGGGCAGTGTCCCCAGTAATCCTCTACGGATGATGATGATGATGATGATGATGATGATGATGTTTCATACAAAAATATCTCCTGTAGAAACCTTGTAGAGAGGTACATAGGCCCCGGTACCCAAAAGTGAATATGTGTCGTTAATGCGACTTAAAAGAGGCTCGCATCGCAAAGATTCGGGTTAGAATTGGTCTTCGGCAGCCTATACTTGGTGTAACAGGCGACTAACGGGATCGGGTGGTTAGGCACGCTGACTTGCGTGGATCGATGCTCAAGAAATTAATCACTGGATGCTCTGGTCCAGATTCGAATTTTTATTGTTGATAGTGTTGTTGAACAACAAATAAACAAACAAATAAAAAAGCATCGAGTGGTTGCTGAGTTTGTTTAGCATTTTAACCGGTTACCGTTAGAAAAAGGCCAAACCATCATGGCCTACGATGCACAGCTGTACAGCATGACGTTACTTGTTCACACTCTCGGCCAGGCCTGTGAACAAACACTCTTCAGACTGCCGAGATAAAAACGCATATATTTCTTCATTCGACGTATAAATAGTTTTTATTCTTGAATTTAAGGTTTTACTTCTATTACTTTAAACCCAGTGTTGATTCCGGGCAGAATAGATCCCAATATCGGATGAATGCCGTGAGAACCGATCTGACTGCGTGTGGGACATCGTACCCCGTGAGTGTAGGTAAACGTAGTTGCTCATGCAATTAACCTCTAGTACGCTGTCCAAGACTTGATTGTTTACAGGTCGCCCTGGTATTGTTGGAATAGTGTTGCGGCGTAAAATATCCTTCACTCACTTATTCTGTGCCTAAATGGTTGTGGTGGGATGCACACACACATTTTGAAGCTAACCAAACGTGTATTGTAAAAATGCATACATACAAGATGTGATCATCCAAAATGCGACGCCCACCTCGTATACTGCGTATCAATTTTCAAAAATTCCAGCCAAACTGCATCATCGACGTGATGAATGATTTTTAAAAAGATGCTTGAAACAACATAAAGGTTTCGACAACTGCGTCGTATATTTGTTTGAACTTCCTTCTTTGTATAAAGACTTAACGGTTGAAAGAATGCGTCTTCTTTTATTTAGCTTATCCGCGTACCTCGTCTTCGTAAGGGGCGGCCGGGTTGCCTAGTGGTTAAAGCGTTCGCTCGTCACGCCGAAGACCCGTGTTCCATTCCCGACATGGGTACAATGTGTGATATTGCTGGAATATTGCTAAAAGCGGCGTAAAACCCTACCCACTCACTCTTCTTCGTAAAAAGGCAGATGTTTTGTTCAATCTTGATTGTTTACTGGCGGTCTTGATTTTGTTGAAATATTGATGCTGCTGCGTAAAATAACATTCACTAGTGGTAAATTTCACATTCGACTAATTTCGGAAATCAAAGTGTATGTTTTCACAATTTTCACATCCCATTATGGCAGTCGACAAGGGGACATGCACTTTCAGACAGTCACTCCCTGTATATACACCAGTACCTCCTGTAGACTGACCGTTGCTTCATCTTTATACCCGGTACTGTATACACACCCGTACCTCGTGTAGACAGACCGTTGCTACTTCTTTATACCCGGTACTGTATACACACCCGTACCTGCTGTAGATTGACCGTTGCTACTTCTTTATACCCGGTACTGTATACACACCCGTACCTCCTGTAGACTGACCGTTGCTACTTCTTTATACCCGGTACTGTATACACACCCGTACCTGCTGTAGACTGACCGTTGCTACTTCTTTATACCCGGTACTGTATACACACCAGTACCTCCTGTAGACAGACCGTTGCTACTTCTTTATACCCGGTACTGTATACACACCCGTACCTCCTGTAGACTGACCGTTGCTACTTCTTTATACCCGGTACTGTATACACACCCGTACCTCCTGTAGACAGACCGTTGCTACTTCTTTATACCCGGCACTGTATACACACCCGTACCTCCTGTAGACAGACCGTTGTTACTTCTTTATACCCGTCACTGTATACACACCCGTACCTCCTGTAGACAGACCGTTGCTACTTCTTTATACCCGGCACTGTATACACACCCGTACCTCCTGTAGACAGACCGTTGCTACTTCTTTATACCCGTCACTGTATACACACCCGTACCTCCTGTAGACAGACCGTTGCTACTTCTTTATACCCGGTACTGTATACACACCCGTACCTCCTGTAGACTGACCGTTGCTACTTCTTTATACCCGTCACTGTATACACACCAGTACCTCCTGTAGACAGACCGTTGCTACTTCTTTTATACCCGGTACTGTATACACACCAGTACCTCCTGTAGACTGACCGTTGCTACTTCTTTATACCCGTCACTGTATACACACCAGTACCTCCTGTAGACAGACCGTTGCTACTTCTTTATACCCGGTACTGTATACACACCCGTACCTCCTGTAGACAGACCGTTGCTACTTCTTTATACCCGTCACTGTATACACACCCGTACCTCCTGTAGACTGACCGTTGCTACTTCTTTATACCCGGTACTGTATACACACCCGTACCTCTTGTAGACAGACCGTTGCTACTTCTTTATACCCGGTACTGTATACACACCCGTACCTCCTGTAGAATGACCGTTGCTACTTCTTTATACCCGGTACTGTATACACACCCGTACTCCCCATAGACAGACCGTTGCTACTTCTTTATACCCGGTACTGTATACACACCCGTACTCCCCATAGACTGACCGTTGCTACTTCTTTATACCCGTCACTGTATACACACCCGTACCTCCTGTAGACAGACCGTTGCTACTTCTTTATACCCGGTACTGTATACACACCCGTACCTCCTGTAGACTGACCGTTGCTACTTCTTTATACCCGGTACTGTATACACACCCGTACCTCCTGTAGACAGACCGTTGCTACTTCTTTATACCCGGCACTGTATACACACCCGTACCTGCTGGTGACAGACCGTTGCTACTTCTTTATACCCGGTACTGTATACACACCCGTACCTCCTGTAGACAGACCGTTGCTACTTCTTTATACCCGGTACTGTATACACACCCGTACCTCCTGTAGACAGACTGTTGCTACTTCTTTATACCCGGTACTGTATACACACCCGTACCTCCTATAGAATGACCGTCGCTACTTCTTTATACCCGGTACTGTATACACATCCGTCCCTGCTGTAGACTGACCGTTGCTACTTCTTTATACCCGGTACTGTATACACACCCGTACCTCCTGTAGACTGACCGTTTCTTCTTCTTTATACCCGGTACTGTATACACACCCGTACCTCCTGTAGAATGACCGTTGCTTCAGACACACAATAAATCTTCTTTATACCCGGTACTGTATACACACCCGTACTCCCCATTGACAGACTGTTGCTACTTCTTTATACCCGGTACTGTATACACACCCGTACTCCCCATTGACAGACCGTTGCTACTTCTTTATACCCGGTACTGTATACACACCAGTACCTCCTGTAGACAGACCGTTGCTACTTCTTTATACCCGGTACTGTATACACACCAGTACCTCCTGTAGACAGACCGTTGCTACTTCTTTATACCCGGTACTGTATACACACCCGTACCTCCTGTAGAATGACCGTTGCTTCAGACACACATTACATCTTCTTTATACCCGGTACTGTATACACACCCGTACTCCCCATTGACAGACTGTTGCTACTTCTTTATACCCGGTAATGTGTACACACCCATACTCCCCACTGACCCTGTAATGTGTCATGGAGCTGTGCGTGTCATTAATAAAGAATAAAGCAATAACGGAAAACATCGTAGATCGTAGAAGGTTCACAGTTTATTATTATCAGCTGATTCCTGACTAAAGATAGGCACTCTTAAAGATCACGACCCCAACTGACACTGACAATGATCACTGATTAATAAATCAGAACAAATATGCAAGCTGATCAGCTGAGCAACTGTACTGTACTATAATAGCAACAGCTATTACAAAAGATAGCTAAATCAACAGAGATCACGTGATATGTAGTTATATCGTACGATCGATTCACATTACCATATCGAGGAAATTATTTCTTATATCATTAAGTCGCACTGTGCACTCTCTCTTCCTTGAGTTATGTGCGAAGGTTTTGTTTTCCAAAATATAATAATGTTGAAAGTAGGTTTGCGACAATGAGATGACGTAACACTATTGTATTTCGAAATTTGGAAAATTATCACATATTATCACAATACAAACTGTTATCTAAAGATGCCACATCAAAAATATTACTGTTTGTTTTTAAAGGATATTGCCAGATGGTATTTTAATATTTACATTATGAACACCGGACGGATATTAAAACATCCTGCCTTGTTCTTTGAAGTGAGTTAGTGCATGCAGTGACGGACCGTTTGATATTCCGGGGGGGGGGGGGGGGGGGGGGGGGGGGGGGGGTTGAATGTGAGGGGGCACTTTCCCCAGAAAATACTGAACATGTATTTTGCATCGGTTTAATAACAGGATAAAAGGATATAAACTGCCCGGCAAAAGAAAGTATACAGTTTTAAATTAAATTTGATCCCAAAATGACAAACGTTACTAGGTTAACGGTCGCCGGAATACTACAAACTAAGGCCCAAAATACAACTATGATACCCGTATCAAACGCACCATCTAATAACCATGTCTTGTTTGTTTCACTTTAGCCACCATCTTTTGCCGAGCAGCGTACTCGTTCGTTGGACGTTCTTGTCCCCCACGTAGGGTCAGACTATGTGTACTCCATGTAAACAAAAAAAACACAACATAAAAGAATCACAATAATGCCCATATGGACTGTTTATTAAACATACTGAGACACATTGGTATGAAGATCAACATGGCTATATTTAATACTGCTCACACTAAATATCTAGTAACGTTTTCGGGCATAAAATAAGATTTTACAGAATTCACAATTTCGAAATATAACAGTTATATTTAAATCATAACACTTAAATGTGCCTTAAATCAACCGTATATTTTTATTGATATAATTGCGCGAATCTTTTTCGCTATCCATCGCATTAAGGCAGGGGTAACTGTGTTCATTAGGTAGGGGATAGACTAACACTCAGTCTCATAGAAACAAATAATTCACTTCAAATTGAAAAGGAGCCCCAGTGAGATGGGTAATTCAGAACATGAGGAATATCTATACTTGTTTCATTTAGGGCTTTTGCATTACAGAATGGGATGGGCGGACGGAAAAATAATATGCTTAAGGGACTGTGAGACAGGCTAGGCACCACATTACATCGCGCCCTAATGACCACGTGTTAGTAAGGTTTTTACGTGCGAACCCCAAATTTGCCCCGATTTGTTTAAATTTATTTTTTATCTGTCAGGAACATGTCGGTGCTTCACCATACATGTAAACATCTGCGGCCTGTGTCGCTTTAGACTTTCCTCTACAAAGACTTTCCCCATTAAACATATACCACTCTGTGGCATAATTACAATGGGTGTTTGTAACGGGGACACCTCGTTTGCTCGGTTTGTCTTTACTAAAAGACATTGCAACAAACCGAATAATCAGGGGGGAGACTTTATACTGAGGGGGGGGACAACATGACTTTCGTTATTTTATTTCTCATGTACATACAGCATACATTGTAAATCATACATGTGTTCATACATACAAAATATATAAACTTAAAGTCAGAAATTAAATTAATTATTTACACTTCACATACATTTTAACTCACAAACCAATAAATCTTGCCACAGAATCAGCATATTCTGTTGGTGACTTGAGCCCTGATTTTCCCTCTCAATACCGCTACCCACATTGCGGTCCTCTTTCCTATCCTTTAGATAAACATCTAAATTGCCGGCACATTTAATCGCTTATCATAACATTCAGGGTGCCGGCAAACCGAGGTTAAACCGTTTGTAACAGTTGGGTTATCACATGTCACATGCTATCTCTTCCAAATCTCGTTCATACCACACGACAACAATAATACAATTACAATAATTAGTCGAACACATCACCTTGATTGCACATTGTTTTATCAGAGGTCATATACCGGTACATGGTCTCTGTTTTGATGTTCACTTGGCTGCAGTTGGTACTCTCGGGTGTATTCGGCCTTTTCCGGTATTGAACGACGCTCACATTTTAAATATGCTCTTCCTTAACTATTGTGAGTATTGATAATTTACATAAATGTGCATCATATCCAGAGTATGATTCACATATAAACATGATTATGATCAGTATCCACGAGGAAATGGAGACGAGGAAAGTTGTTCAGTTAAGCAGATTCTAGTTTTGCTAGAAAATTTATGAGAGAGGGAAATCCTGTGCTGAGGCAGAGAGTCGGAGACAGTGAAGAGGGGGAGGGCTCTTTTGCTAAAACTCGGAACTTTAAGAATTAATTTGACTCGTGACATTTTTTCCATAAGCATTCATACCCTGTGGGTTATTCTATAATTACGTCATGTCACATTTGCCTATCACCTTCAAGGTCTGACTTTGACACGTAGACATCTGCAAAACGTCCGGTATGTTGTCTTTGGCAATACGAGCGGCGTAAAATAATTCTCATTCTCTCACTCACACAGTGTCAGATTAGTGTGCACCCACTGTCAGAAGCAACAGTCAGTGAAAACAATATTGAAAACGGTGATTTTGTTGCATGGCTTGATGATTAACTAATAAAATCTATACTTGAACTAAATGGACGAAGTTATGATGTATTGTAATTTATAACGACAACGCCAGAGAATAACCAGTCTCGATTATCCATCGAAACAAAATCCATGTAAGGCAAATTAGCACTGAAAATCATGATGAATTTAGCATCTGGGATATAAAACTTTATATAACACACCTGTATGGTGATAAAACATAGCTGAACCGCACTGACAGACATATCATGTCACGTCATTCCTCACGTCATGCAGAATGATGTAACATCCCTGCGGTTTGAGAATATACACAGCTGTAATTCAAACAAGCATTCACGTGCACTATTGTTGGTATCTAACCGATCTGACAGTGAGACGCCGGTCTAGGTAGAGGGTTTTTCCTCCGCGACATCTGGGTCTTCCACGGCCTGTCGTGTGCCCCTATCCCGTCGTGGGGTTTGGGAGGCTGCTCCTTGCCGTTCCACAAAGCATACACTCTCAGGTCGCATCGGCACGTACCCAGCCTGTAACAGTGAGTTATCATGCATATAGTCAGACCGCCTTCGTGGTCTAGTGGATACAGCGTCTGCCCCGAGAGCGAAAGGTCGGGGGTTCGATCTCCTGCCATGTCATACTAAAAGACGTTAAAAGAGCGTGCTTTAATTATCCTACCTGGCGCTCGGCATTAAGGGGACAGAACAATGAATGAGTCAGTATAAAGTATCTGAGCTGGGTATCCATGTTAAACTACGGCATGATATCGTAGTCAGTGGGCGGGCACTATAAAACTTCTGTCAGTGGTGGGTTGGGGATGGTTTGGGTTGGGGATTGTCGACGACATACGACATTTGGTTTGGTTTTCAGGGCGGGGTGGTGGGGGGGTGGGGGGTGGGGGGGGGGGTGGGGGGTGGTGGTCCTCATTTCACCCCACCTTATAGTCAGACCCAAGAGAGTGATCGTTATATGAACCTCTGTTAATCTACCTGCCTCCCCGATTCGCTCGCAACCCAGCCTTACACACGGAGCCGTCATAGGCCCACGAGGCGAGGCGAGGTGAATAACCCACACAGACATGAATAACCCACTCAGACTCAGGATACTGACTCCGTGCCGACTAGTCTTTTTGGGACCCCTTTATGCCGAGCGCCAAACAGGGTAACAGCAAGTACCATCTTTTAACGTCTGTTGAGGTTGGTAAGAACAGGTCTGTATGTTGTCCACAGTACACAATAAACCATGCACGTGATTTAAAGTCATGTCAATAAATAACAATGTCATCGTTATTGTTATCTCCATCGAAGGTATAAACACGAGGTGAATGCAATCGCGGTTTACGTGACGTACTCAAAAGCCCTGCCGTATCACGTGTTATTATCCATTGCACAGCAGGATTGTCAAAAAATACATAAGCAGTCTTATGTGCGTTACACTGCATATTACACATTACATATGTTCTTACATTGCACTTTGGACTGTTGTGTTCTTGTTACGACGAGGGGGTGGGGGTGGGGTGGGGGGTGGGGTGGGGGGTGGGGGGCAGTGTTTGTGGGAAGTGTATTGGGGTGGGGTCTGTGTGTGAAGTGTGAAGTATACTTACATCTCCATTGGCCTCCTCTTGCACAGCCTCAATCAAGCCTTCATCTGTCAACATAACATACATCCAGTCAGCACATTGTATACCTCAGCTGAAGTCGAGCTTAATAGTCCAAAAACTTATAAAAGTGAACTGTTTCTCTCCCAGTGGCTTGAAATGCGACTTTAACCAATCTCAGTTGTGATCAACCTGTTTGTCTTGAATATTTATGACATTAATGGTATCAAATGTTCTGAACAAATATATTTATTCTTACTGAACAAAATATTTGTATTACTTCGAGTTGAGTTAACTATAACATTTCCTATTTAGTAATATATCCCTTCCCCTGATATGCATACATGTTTCGTCTCGCTTGTGGGCATCGAACTCGGGGCTGGTATTTTAGAAAAAAATAATTGTGCCTCAGGTTTTTAAAAAAATGTGTCCTGAAAAAGAAATATACAAATCATCCTTTCATTGAAAAAATATGTTTTGAAGCTGTGTCCGAAAAATAGGCTGAGGATATTAAATGATTCAATAATAATGTCAATATTGACAACGAACCTGGACTGCCCTGCCAGCTAGGTATACCGCTACTGCCTGAATATGCTGTAAAGAAATAGAAAATATGTACAAATTAGTTATATTAGTGAGTCTCATTGCGATACGAACGGTGTTAGAAGTACGCACTAAGAAACACAGAATTGAGTGAGAGAAACATACATCACACGCACGCACGCACGCACGCACGCACGCACGTACGCACAGTTAATTCACTACTTGTCGTAAGAGGCGACTAACGGGATCGGGTGGTCAGGCTCGCTGACTTGGTTGATGCATGTCATTGTATCCCAATTGCGTGGGTCGATGCTCATGATTTCAATCACTGGATTGTCTGGTCCAGACTTGATTATTTACAGACCGCCGTCATATAGCTGGAATATTGCTGAGTGCGGCGTCAAACAACAAACAAACATCGAGTTTACCTGAATCTCTGAGTTCCACAGATGCTGTCTCTTCAACAGGAAGTTTCCCCATAAGGTCGGAAATTTCTTTATTTGTCTGGTGGAGTTCTTTGACGATATCTTCAACCATTTTTGGCATCTTAGAAATCTTGGAGAGGGTAGCTTTAACTGGAACCGCCGCCCCATATCTCATTATGTGTCGTTCCTTCAGTTGGGACAGGTACTGTGTGTTTGTCTTGAGCTGTTCGTGAAATTTGTCCTTGATCTCCTTACACAACTGGTCATTTTGCTGATATACGGTGCCCTCAGCCATGCTTTTAAAACGCTTCAGCTTGGGACACGCGCAAGGCCCCGTGCAAGGTCAAGTCAAAGTTCCAGTGATGGTCCGATATATGTCTTCCGGTGCCTTGTCAAAATGGTGACGTCTCTTTTGTAAGTGACTTAAAAATTAAACTAGTTCCTGAGACACCTGACGTGTTTTAAGCTTAAAGAATTGTACGGATAGTCCAGGTCGATGAAGCATCAAGTTATTGACCAAAAGGAGTTCACCATTAAATGCCAATAACGCCAAACTGAAAACGAAATAAGAACAAAAAAGTTATTGACCAAAAGGAGTTCACCATTAAATGCCAATAACGCCAAACTGAAAACGAAATAAGAACAAATAAGTTATTGACCAAAAGGAGTTCACCATTAAATGCCAATAACGCCAAACTGAAAACGAAATAAGAACAAACAAGTTTGTTTGTTTGTTTTTTAACGCCGCACTCGGTAATATTCCAACTAAATGACGGCGGTCTGTAAATAATTGTGTCTGGACCTGACAATCTAGTGACTGACATCATGAGCATCGATCCACGCAATTGGGATACGATGATATGCATCAACCGCCCGATCGCTTCTTACGACAAATATTGGTTGCCAAAGACCAGGTCTAGCCCGGATCTTCAGGGGTAATACATGAAACATGAAATGCCTTGATAGACACACTTGATTGACACCATTTTGATAACGTCACGCTATTGTTGTTGCAGTTAATTGTGGCCAGAAATTTAGTTGTCTTTCCGAACGTGCAGTTTAAATCACAAGTAAAACTGACGCACCTATAGGTCATTAGCCTAGAGTATAGTGAGTGAGTGAGTATGGTTTTACGCCGCTTTTAGCAATATTCCAGCAATATCACGGCGGGGGACACCAGAATGGGCTTCACACATTGTACCCATGTCGGGAATCGAACCCGGGTCTTCGGCGTAACGAGCCAACGCTTTAACCACTAGGCTACCCGACCGCCCCGCCTAGAGTATAGAGAAATTATACATAAACCATAACATGCCACAGGTTCGTTGAATCTTCTGGGTTCGTTAATTCTACTTCCGGAATCATCCGACTCTCATGATGTGTCCGTCATGGAATCCATGACATACGCGTATAAAGACTAACTTCTGACTGCTTACTACTCATAAATAGTGTGACCCTACACGAAATGGTTTCCACTATATCTGTGGATTATGAAGGCGACGATGATAATGCAAACTAGATAAGATCAAAGAACCCGCTAGATGCCGTGTTAATTATTTTCACCTCAAAGAAATTACCAAATATGTTCAACAATGTTTATATTCGTATGACATTACTACCGGTAGCATGGTACGCTATTGGCCTCATCAGACCAAAGCATCGGCCTGGATCCACCTGCTAGCTGTCGCAGTAACCACAGTCAACATTGCGCACCGGAAGTTTCGAGCCGAAACACACAGAGCGGCCTTCCACTTGGGGGTCTAGTCATGGGAAGCTGGAATCAATACCTTCACAGATTGTGGCTAACAAAAAATTGGCAACAAACTATAATATCTTATCTTTCACTGAAGCTATGTCAAGTCACTCCGCCCATAAAAATTGGACAGCCCATTTAAAGAGGGCGCTTTATTCTCCTATTTTCCTTCCGGTGCATGCTAAAACTTAAAGGGGCACTGATCTAACGCAAAAAAAAAGTAAATCAACTGATCATTCATCTCTTGCTGGGCTGCCACGTGCATATTACATAACACACATTTCACCTCACTTCAAACCTGGATTTAGATTGAATAATTACCCCAGGCACAAGAAATGTCATATGGGAACCTTTGTCAGGTAATCTAAGTGGTGCTACCACTAATTGTACCTGTAATAAATTCATTAACTGAGCATCAAGTGAATGACGACAAATACACAAGTGTAGGGATATACCATAAAACGTGGATGACAACAAGGGAGTAGTAATCCTATTACCGACGCAATCCGAAATCCGAAAATGCTTTCACTGCATGTATACTTTTTTTAGTACAGTAAAGTACGGTTATAACGAACACGCTTATAACGAACTGACGGATATAACGAACTACTTTTTTGGTCCCGACTATTTGCTGTAGTTATGCTGTATATATGCTTATAACGAACTACGGTTAAAACGAACTAAAATAAATAGTCCCTTTGAGTTCGTTATAACCGTACTTTACTGTATTAAACAATAACCATCTGGGGTATTTCCAAATGACGACATCCGATGAGCTCCGCCGTTCTTTTTGTCTGTTTGTTTAGGCTGAAGAAATTAATTAACATGCGCCCTTTGTCGAAATCTTTTTAGATTAACCAATCAGTGTTTATGCAAAAATGCGTAAAAAAATATTGCCTCCAGCCTCCAAGTATATTTAGCAGTCCTTGCAGACGGTAGCCAAGTCTCTGGTCACGCTCAGTTGCGTTGCGTATCATCCGGGTACTCACGGGGGAAAAGACAATAACAAAGGCAACAACCAGTCCGGGGAATTGCGTTAGATCAGTGCCCCTTTAAGTGACAAGTGGCAGGTTGGTCATCACGCAACATGTACAGGAGTGCAGCCTACGATTGATATTAATTAGGTTGGGCTGTAATGTCACTGTAGATAGCAAAGAAGGAATATAATTGTGGTCTGAGGCCATAGTGGATCCTTATGGCGAAAGCTTACTCACACATTAATTATCTCATACGCAAAATGTTCCTTGTTCTTTATTCAACGTTTATGACACATCATTTAGGATTGATCGATGTTGATTTTCTTTACCGAGTTCGGTAAACAAAGAACCTGTCATTGGCGACTCAAGGGCGGGCAACTCTATATTACCGCGGTATGGCTATGTTGTGGTGTGATAGTGTGGATTATGTGGTTTACATCACTTCCTGTTTGTGGTAATGCATAATCAATATTCATGGGTCAAAGAACATCGTCCAAACATTTGGATCTTCTAACCAATTTCGAATGGAGCTGGAGGTAATTCCAGAAACTATCTTAAAAAAGTTTATGTGTATACTTACGAATAGCTGTGACATGACGCAACGAGTCCTGTATTCGATCATGCGATGAAATATTGTGCTTAGTTTTGCATAAGTAAACAGTCGACAGGTGATGTAGATTACGAGATTTACCGATACCGCGATGATATAGAGTCATACACAAGGCGGGAATTTCAGAGGATTGTGATCGAGGGGTCGTATATACACAAATGTGTCAAGTAAACGGAGTGAGTGAGTGAGTATGGTTTTACGCCGCTTTTAGCAATATTCCAGCAATATCATGGCGGGGGACACCAGAAAGGGGCTTCACACATTGTACCCATGTCGGGAATCGAACCCGGGTCTTCGGCGTGACGAGCGAACGCTTTAACCACTAGGCTACCCGACCGCCCCGTAAGTAATCAGAAACAATCTGCCAGTCTGCGTACTGTTATTTGTCATTTATGTTTTACAATTTCCCAAGAGAATTTGTAAGAACTACAGATAACTACCGTCGTCGTTGAGAGTGACTTTGCGTCAGTCTATCATGGCGTCACACAGGACGGAAACTTTTACGAGTTCTGTTTAATTTACCTGATCTTTGTAATGTATAAAAATATATATTTAATAAAAGAATTATTCCTTAATTTGTGCTTCGATACTCTTCCCATGAATATTCTCAAACACGTGAGCCACAGATCACTAATATGCTTCTTTTGAAATTCAATTCTTCGAGTAAATATCCATGTTTAGATTTCTAAACCCACCGTAAATTGTGATTTAGTAATGTGTCAAAAATTGCGAGATTTGCGGTGTACCTTTCAGTAATTTTTCTTTGAAGTGTATTAGATCTAGTGTGCGTGATGTAGTTTGAATTTTATTCGGCTTCGAAGTGAGGGTTGAAGAGGTGGAACATATGTGTAGTCCGTCATAATCTGCCAGGTCATCACCATGGAGTAGGCAATCACAGTCCTGGAATTCGATCGCACATAGTTTTGATACCAGTTATCTCAAATGGGTTCCTCGCCCACAGGTGTGTAAGAATTTGTTAATATTGACGTGTCGCTTCAAAAAGCTACGGAGGCGTAGTTAAGCCTAGTGGTTGAAGCGTTCACTCATCACGCCGAAGACCCGGGTTCGATTCCCCACATGGGTACAATGTCTGAAGACCATTTCTGGCGTCCACCGACGTGATGTTGTTGGAATATTGCTAAAAGCTGCGTAAAACCCATATTCACTCACTCACAGAGCTACTGGCTGTTCAAAGGTGTTTTCCAAATAGATCCCAGATCCAAATCTGCATCGCACTTTATATGCTTCAGCAAAATACATGCGTCGTGATCTAACGACGAATGAAACTTGAATTACTTGCTAAGAAACTCGCCTTCTTATATGAGCAGGACAGAGATATGATTACCGCAGCTACGTTAATCCGGAAATCTTCCTTCTTGACGACCACTTCAGCCTCGGAACGCTCACCTATACGTTTGTTTGTTTGTTTGTTATGTAACGCCGCACTCAGCATATTTTCCAGCTATATGACTGCGGTCTGTAAATAATCGAGTCTGGAAAAGGCAAACCAGTGATTGATATCATGAGGATCGATCAATGACATACATCAACCAAGTTGGCGAGCCTGACCACCCGAACTCTCCTCCTCTTACGACAAGCACTGTCGCCTCGTACGGCAAGCATAGGTTGCTGAAGACCTATTCTACCCCTGATCCTCACGGGTCGGTTACCTATCAGAGAAGGACAGTGTCTCTTACCTCTGATTCCACACTCCGGACTTGTGTTAATTAAAGACGGCTTCACTAGGTACCCTCCAATCAGAACCAACGAGTTTCATCGATATTTGTTAATATGAAGCACCACTGAACGAACTGCACGTTATAAAGTCTCTTCACCGTTGAGAAATCACCTGCATATATGAACTGCGCTTTTAAATGTGAATGTCTATATCTTGCAGATTCCTTCCTGGTTCATGGTGTCACATTATCAGCTATCTTTAGACCTTACAATCTATATACTACTTCCCGGATTGAATTCCCTGAAATTTCCCCCGAATATAAATACTGACAGGTAAACAACACCTGCTAGTTTCATGCACATTGTAAGCTCGTCAGTTGTCCTCCAACAGTTGGGGTACGGGTGGGCCAAAGTCTGAAGGAGTTCCAGTTCGCTGTGCAGTTTCGATCTTTGCTGTCAGGATCGCTTGTCATAGTTCGAATACCGGATTCGCTATAATTGGTGGCGTGGTGGATTTCAGCAAGTGATGAACATTTCCAACCTGTTTCTTGCTACTTGAAGCGGATACAAATAAACTAGTTTTACATATTTTATTATTTTTATTTACAGATTAAAATATAAAATGCAGCAAAGAGGGTTTGGGTGATCCTGGCACAGTCAGGCTGGTAAGGCTCATCATCAGCTCGGGGCCCTTGCCCCCTCTACACGCAGCCCAGACAGCGAATGGGACTTCTCCCAGGAAGCGCTGCCTAGACAAACCCGCCAAAACGTTTTCGGAGAATGTGAAGACTCATTACCCAGATTGTCATAAGGGCTGTATTCCTGGTAGCAAACCCGGCTACCCTCCCAATGTCAGTCAACAGATTGGGAGGTACCAAACCTAAGGCACCGAGAACAATGGAGAGTCGGACAACCTGGTTCTTGGTACGTGACATTTCGAAAGCGAGGTCTGCATATTTGCCATGTTTTTACTCAATCTTGTCAATCACATTAGTGTCAAAGGGGACAGAAAATTCAATGATATAAATGATTTCATTGCATTTATCAAAAAGGACAAGATCAGGTTTGTTGGCCTGGATACGTCTAAGGCTGTATACTGGCCTATTCCAAAGAATTTTGTATTTATCCTTTTCCATGACGCCCTCTACATATTCCGGGTCGTACCATATATGGACCTCTGTCAAAACCACAAGCATGGCGAAGACGGCAATAAAATGATCGAGTTACACCATCATGTCGATTTGTGTATCAAAGCTGGGCATCCACTGACAATGTGTTGGACAGTCTCATTACATTCATTACATAATCTACATTTCATATTTAAATTTTGCGTGGGAAGTGACTGGCCCTGAGCAGCAAACAGAAAGTTTTCTGTTTCACTGATAACTAGCGGGTATCGTCATTATTATTATTATTATTATTATTAATATTATTATTATTATTTGTACACATCTTGCGGGTATGTGCTGAACACGGCATTGTAGTTATCATATGTGTAAAGAACTGCAGAACATTTTGAGATCACATCGACCGATGGGCAAAAGAAAGTACCCTGAGTTTGTTTTTTACTTAATTGAAAGAACTGTTGTTAAATTTTATCAAGTCTATTTAGCCATCAGTCATCCCTCCAACAGTATGTAAAAAGCAAATCTGTAATGGGTGATGATGTGAAAAATTAAATGGGTTCGAGAAAAAACATCACTCCTCATCCATCAGCTTAACGTGATACAATAAACACTGAACCATGCTGATATGCGCACGGACAATTCCCCACACAGACAATTCCCCACATGGACATTTCCCCACACAGACAATTCCCCACATGGACATTTCCCCACACAGACAATTTTCCCCATGGACATTTCCCCACACAGACAATTCTCCACACTTACATTTCCCCACATGGACATTTCCCACACAGACAGACAGACATGCAGACAAGACAGATATGACAGACAGACATGGAGACATGACAGACGGGCATGTAGACAAGACAGACATGACATGCAGACAAGACAAACATGACAGACAGACATGTAGACAAGACAGAAAAGACAAACAGACATGCAGAGAAGACAGATATGACAGACATGTAGACAAGACAGACAGACATGCAGACAAGACATATATGACAGACAGACATATATACGCAAATGTGTCAAGTAAGTAATCAATAACAATCTGCCAGTCTGCGTTCTGTTATTTGTTTTTATGTTTTACAATTTCCCAAAAGAATTAGTCAGAAATACAGATAACTACCGTTGTCGTTGAGAGTGACTTTGCGTCAGTCTATCATGGCGTCACACAGAACGAAAACTTTTACGAGTTCTGTTGAATTTACCTGATCATTGTAATGTATATATATTTAATTATTCCTTAATTTGTGCTTCGATACTCTTCCCATGAATATTCTCAAACACGTGAGCCACAGATCACTAATATGCTACTTTTGAAATTCAATTCTTCGAGTAAATATCCTATGTTTAGATGTCTAAACCCACCGTAAATGGTGATTTAGTAATGTGTCAAAAATTACGAGATTTGCGGTGTACCTTTCAGTAATTTTGCTTTGAAGTGTATTAGATCTAGTGTGCGTGATGTATTTTAAATTTTATTCGGCTTCGAAGTGAGGGTTGAAGAGGTGGGACATATGTGTAGTCCGTCATAACCTGACAGGTCATCACCATGGAGTAGGCAATCACAGTCCTGGAAATCGATCTACCACATAGTTTTGATACCAGTTATCCCAAATGGGTTCCTCACCCACAGGTGAGTAAGAAGCTTGTTAATATTGACGTGTCGCTTCAAAAAGCTACGGAGGCGTAGTGCAGCCTAGTGGTTGAAGCGTTCACTCATCACGCCGAAGACCCGGGTTCGATTCCCCACATGGGTACAATGTCTGAAGACCATTTCTGGCGTCCACCGACGTGATGTTGTTGGAATATTGCTAAAAGCTGCGTAAAACCCATATTCACTCACTCACAGAGCTACTGGCTGTTCAAAGGTGTTTTCCAAATAGATCCCAGATCCAAATCTGCATCGCACTTTATATGCTTCAGCAAAATACATGCGTCGTGATCTAACGACGAATGAAACTTGAATTACTTGCTAAGAAACTCGCCTTCTTATATGAGCAGGACAGAGATATGATTACCGCAGCTACGTTAATCCGGAAATCTTCCTTCTTGACGACCACTTCAGCCTCGGAACGCTCACCTATAAGTTTGTTTGTTTGTTATTTAACGCCGCACTCAGCATATTTTCCAGCTATATGACTGCGGTCTGTAAATAATCGAGTCTGGAAAAGGCAAACCAGTGATTGATATCATGAGGATCGATCCATAACATACATCAACCAAGTTGGCGAGCCTGACCACCCGAACTCTCCTCCTCTTACGACAAGCACTGTCGCCTCGTACGGCAAGCATAGGTTGCTGAAGACCTATTCTACCCCTGATCCTCACGAGTCGCTTACCTATCAGAGAAGGACAGTGTCTCTTACCTCTGACTCCACACTCCGGACTTGTGTTGATTAAAGACGGCTTCACTAGGTACCCTCCAATCAGAACCAACGAGTTTCATCGATATTTGTTAATATGAAGCACCACTGAACGAACTGCACGTTATAAAGTCTCTTCACCGTTGAGAAATCACCTGCATATATGAACTGCGCTTTTAAATGTGAATGTCTATATCTTGCAGATTCCTTCCTGGTTAATGGTGTCACATTATCAGCTATCTTTAGACCTTACAATCTATATACTACTTCCCGGATTGAATTCCCTGAAATTTCCCCCGAATATAAATACTGACAGGTAAACAACACCTGCTAGTTTCATGCACATTGTAAGCTCGTCAGTTGTCCTCCAACAGTTGGGGTACGGGTGGGCCAAAGTCTGAAGGAGTTCCAGTTCGCTGTGCAGTTTCGATCTTTGCTGTCAGGATCGCTTGTCATAGTTCGAATACCGGATTCGCTATAATTGGTGGCGTGGTGGATTTCAGCAAGTGATGAACATTTCCAACCTGTTTCTTGCTACTTTAAGCGGATACAAGTAAACTAGTTTTACATATTTTATTATTTTTATTTACAGATTAAAATATAAAATGCAGCAAAGAGGGTTTGGGTGATCCTGGCACAGTCAGGCTGGTTAGGCTCATCATCAGCTCGGGGCCCTTGCCCCCTCTACACGCAGCCCAGACAGCGAATGGGACTTCTCCCAGGAAGCGCTGCCTAGACAAACCCGCCAAAACGTTTTCGGAGAATGTGAAGACTCATTACCCAGATTGTCATAAGGGCTGTATTCCTGGTAGCAAACCCGGCTACCCTCCCAATGTCAGTCAACAGATTGGGAGGTACCAAACCTAAGGCACCGAGAACAATGGAGAGTCGGACAACCTGGTTCTTAGTACGTGACATTTCGAAAGCGAGGTCTGCATATTTGCCATGTTTTTACTCAATCTTGTCAATCACATTAGTGTCAAAGGGGACAGAAAATTCAATGATATAAATGATTTCATTGCATTTATCAAAAAGGACAGCATCAGGTTTGTTGGCCTGGATACGTCTAAGGCTGTATACGGGCCTGTTCCAAAGAATTTTGTATTTATCCTTTTCCATGACGCCCTCTACATATTCCGGGTCGTACCATATATGGACCTCTGTGTCAAAACCACAAGCATGGCGAAGACGGCAATAAAATGATCGAGCTACACCATCATGTCGATTTGTGTATCAAAGCTGGGCATCCACTGACAATGTGTTGGACAGTCTCATTACATTCATTACATAATCTACATTTCATATTTAAATTTTGCGTGGGAAGTGACTGGCCCTGAGCAGCAAACAGAAAGTTTTCTGTTTCACTGATAACTAGCGGGTATCGTCATTATTAGGGCTCCAAGCCGAAAGGCTGTAGAGCCCTATTGTAATCGTTCGATTTATTATTATTATTATTTATTATTATTATTATTATTTATTATTCCGCCGATTTTTGTACCTGCCCTAGCAAAATAACCACCAGCTCGATTTTGTTCAAATTTTGTGGGTGTTCGTAGACCGTTGGGTACTAGTGCCCGCCAGAAAGCCAAGGCCGTAGGCCTAAAGGCCAAGGGCAGATAACTGAAAAACAAGTATTTTTTGATGATATATTTTGCCCTGCTGCTCTACAACCGTTTGCCCGTTTACTTTCAAACCTTGCATGTATCTACTGCTTTAGTTGCTTGATATTTTTTGTTCTTTGACTTTGGTCATTGATCACGTGGTTTGGCAGCCATATTGGATTCAAGGTTTTGACAGGGTTTTATGGGCACCTGTCTTCAAATACTATCTCCTCTGAATCCGCTGCATGAAATGATTTCAAACTTTTTGAGAATTGTCTCCATACAGAACACAACAAATGAGCATAGCCGTTTTTTTATATCTTTTTTAGTTGCGGTCATATTGGATTTTGATTTTGATAAAAAAATTCACCTAAGTACAAATACTGATGGAAGCGCCTCATAAATCTACTATAAACCCCCATTCACTGGCTTTGCAGATACCCTAGCGTTCTCCA